AATTTTATTTTATTGTATTTTTGTTAAGTTTGGAGCTTGTTACTCGCTCATTAGAAGAGCTTTATGACTATTGCTCATGCAGGGATCATGGATCCATGCCTGCTCTTTCCCCAAAAAAGCACTAAGTGCATTCCGTCATTTTAAATGGCATGGGCGGTACATTAATTTAGACGGAGCACCTTCAAGACGGGACAGTTTTAACACTTTTTGTGACAATGTCAATAACAATCCTTTGCAACGAGGGAATATAAGAACAGTGCAATAGATGGGAGCAGATGGAATGGAGTAAGGCTTTTCTAGGAGAAAGAAGGGTTTTTCCACCGCTGCTGCTGTAACCCTTGCTTCTCTGTATTTCACAAGGAATTTCGTCTCGAATCCCATCCCTGCAAAGGTTTGCCGAGCATTTTGAAATAGTTAAGAAAGCGGTTTATTTCTCTCCAGCTCCCTCCCACCCCCGCCACCCTGCCTGATCAAAACAAGGAAGTGTCTAACTGCCTTGAGGAATCCCAGAAGCGTGCGCAGCAATATGGTTATTATCGGCCTGATATTTGGGGAAGAAAGTGCTAATGGGCAATCTGGTGTTTATTTTGAAACTGCTAACAATGATTTTTCTTGGGTAAAAAAGGCAAGTACGTCTGGGCACACGGTTGAGTGGGTTTTGAGCAGAGGCTCTAACAGATGGTGTGAAGCTATAGGTGCGCGCTCTCTCTCTCTCTCTCTCTCTCTCTCTCTCTCCCTCTCCCCAGACTTAGGGGAACCGTCGTGCCTGACCGGACTGTGAGCAGCAGGAGCAGCAGCCTGGCTGCACTCGGAAAGGCTTTTCCGCTCTCTAGCCGCTCCCGCCCCTCCCCCAGCCCATCCCTCCCCTGGAGAGACCGAGAGAGAGAGAGAGAGAGACCGAGAGAGAGCTGTCCGTGCGCGCTGGCTGCCTTTTCCCCCCCTCTCAGGCTCCCCTGGAGAGTTTTCCCGCGCGGCGCTCTCCCTGCCCGGCGACTGAGGCGAGAGGCACACAAATGCCGCGCTTTAAGTTTCCTTTCTTTCTTTCTTTCTTTCTTTCTTTCTTTCTTTCTTTCTTTCTTTCTTTCTTTCTTTCTTTCTTTCTTTCTTCCAAGAAGGCCGCCAGCTCGCTCGGCCTCGCCTCACGCCCCTGCCGTGCCCAGACAAGGGGTGCTTCTCTCTCCCTCCCTCCCTCCCTCCTGCCCTGCCTCGGCTGCTTGCTCTGCCGGCCCGCTTCACCACCACCACCACCACCCCCCGCTCCCCACTCCCGCCTCTTCCCTCACACACAGCCTGGGCCTCCGCCGTCTGTGCTCCATGAGGTCACTTGCTTGCCATTCCCATTCCTGCAAGCCTTCTTTGCAAAACGGACTGCCGAGCTGGTGGCGGGGCGCGGAAGGGGGGCGGGCGAGCGGGAGAGAAAGGATAAATAAGAAGGAGGGGGCAAAGAAGAAGAAGGCATTTCCTAAGCCTTATTTCCCCCCCCTCCCCAAGCCCGCCGCCACCGGCTCGGCCGCCAGAAGTGAGAAGGAGACGACCTCTGGTCCTACTCCCTTGCCCTCCCCACCTACCTACGGTGTCTTCTACCCACTTTGGGGGCCACTTTTTGCTTGTTGACACAGCCATGAGGGGGCAGCGGGGTCCTTCCCAAGGCAAGCCTCCTCTCTGAAGCGGAGACATGGCCTAGTTTCCCAAGTAGCAACCTTGTAAAGCAGGTACCGTCTGGAAAAGCCTGAAGTAATATATGACCCCGCAGACAGAACAAGCAGTCAGTGGCTGCAAAATGTTTGTTGTTGCAGCAGCATGCTGTATAACTTCTGGTGATTGTTACCTCGCCTCTGATGAATCCGCGTATTTAGATGTGATTTATTTTTTATTTTGTAGCACCAACAGAAATCCATAAACTGTCGGTTCAGCGCCATTGACTCTTTGATCAGTTACTGGGCAATTCGTCCCCCCCACCCCTTTCCTCCCCGTCAGCGAAGAGAGATTAAAAGCCTGTATTTTCAGCACAGGGGCTACAGCAAAGGTCCGTAGCTTCAATTACCAATAAAAGCGTGCTTCAAAATGTTACCCTCTTTCTCTCTCTCTCTCTCCTCTCTCCTTTATTCGAGAGCAGCGAAACTTACACGGCTGCCCATCGTCCCTTCTTAATTAGCCTACGGCGATTTCCGAAAACATTTAGCTGCTATGTACAAAGGAAATAAAAAGACATTGTCAACTGGAGAGCGCTCCAGAGTTTAAAAGGGGGCTTCTCTGTAACCTATTGAAATAATTATTGGAGGGCACAACGCCTCAGTCTTTGTCAGAGGGCTGGTGTTTGCCTGTCAGATCGGGTTTTCTCCAAAAGAACACCACTTATTTACTGCTGAAGGCATTTAAATCCAACTCCATTTTTGTCAAGATTACCCCAAAACTTTCTGGTTTTAAGGGAAAAGGCAGGAAGAACGTTTGAAAGCTCAAACGAGTTAGAGAAATGTACCCCAGGCCAGCGGTTTGGAAAGGCTGTCCTTTGTTTTTGAGATATTTGAAATTGCATTTTTCTAAGTGATGGCAGAGAGGGAAAAACCTTCCTACTCTTTTATGAAAGGAGCAAAAATGTGATGAATAAGAGTCAGAGCACCAGAATTCTGTCTTTTCTGAAGGGCACAGGTTTCTTTTAGTTTCCATGAATTAAAGCATCTTGTTTACAAAAAACCAGAAGCAACCCAAAATGCTATCAAATTAATCTATCAGTAAAATAATGTTAAGAAACTGACCCATCCAAAAGCTAATAAGCAGTTTTGGATTCTTCCTTCCTTCCTTCCTTTAATTTTCTTGGAGGAGTCCTGATAATACTGTAGTTATCCTCCAGAAAGTTGACCAGGACAGGTTAAATAATTTAATAAGGACCTGCTTGTAATTATGTTATTTACAAGGGATGACAGGGGTTTGAGAAAGAAACAGGAGCTGATCTCAGGGAAAATGGACGGGTTTGGGTGACCCCTGGAGCACAGAGCTTGAATTATGGAGATGGGGAACTCCGAGGTGAATCCGGACTAGTGGAGAACAAGATGACTTTTCACCTCAACACATTTAACTTTTACATCCCAAATAAACGTCTCGCGAGACTAAATCATCCCATTTTAAAGGGGAAAAGAAAAGCACATGAAAAAAAGCAAGCCACCTTCTATTCCAGTACATCAGGATTAAAATACACTTTTCTGCTTGTCTCTCTGTTATAAACTTAATCCTTCAGATTCTTTTAAAATAATTTTAGGCTAATACTGGAGCATTTCCCTCTCCTGTCACTACTTCTTTTTCTAACATGTGTCAGCTGGAAATCTCACTCCAGAGGCCAACGTATTACTAGAAATTTCAAGGTACTAACAATAAAAAAACCTGTTTCACTTTCTAAATATTTATCAATTGTATGGAATTTTAATTCAATACTTCAGGAGGATGGTTGGTATATCAGAACCATTAAGAAGTCCATTCCCACAGAAGCGGAAAAAGAACACAATCTCAGCAACTCACAAAACTCTTAGAAAAAGCATAAACTTTCTCACCTGTTTGGTCATTGAATCTATTAATCGAACGTACAAATCCTGTTCCGTTCTAACTCCTGAGAAAGGGAAAGAAAAACAAAAGAGAAGCCGTCTGGAATCAGAAAAATGAGGTAGTGAGGTACAAAGATGACACAATGGATATACAAAACATCCAGCAAAACATAATGTGCAAGCTATTGAAACCTATATAAGAACATGAGGGTATTGAAATAAAAATAATCTTGACTGCAGGTTGTGGCTGATTAACATGTATGACCCATGAAAACGTAAGATATAGTACTTGCCTTTGACTGAGATAACTAGAAAAATACATGCTTGTTTATACCAGCCTAGATTATCATTAAGTTAAACCAAAGAGAGGGACAAAGACAGAAGCACTATAAATAAACGTCGACTACTTGAATTTCTCAATCTAATACATATTGTCAATATTTGCTACTCAAGTTAAAGATTATTTTGGTGTGGAATCTTACATGCCTGGCATGATGGAACTAGGCAATTTCAATAATTAATATTAATTTGTGGAACGGAGAGGGGAAGTCTCTTAAAAGTGATGTTGTGTGGAAGCAAATATTGATTCTGAGTGGGGTTTTTTTGGTTTGTGTGCTTTTTTTTGTCGCTGTTGTTACTTTCTACTTGAAGACCAGCCGGTTAATCATGTAAAGTACCATTGACTTATTGATCGTTTATGTTTTGTTTTGCTTCTATGACATAAGAAGAGCCGTATTCACAGTCATGTAATTTTAATCTCAAAATCTTTAGACCCTTTGTTTATTTTTGTTGTTGTTGTTGTTGTTGAAAGGTTCAGAAAGCAGAAAGCAATTTTCTAACACAGAGAGCTACCATCACAGTCACAACAGAGGAAGCAATGAACAAAACTTACCATTACTGTACAATAACTGGAGTTTATAATGAATCCCATTGTTAGTTTTTTCATTGTTGGGCTCCTGCAAGTAATGACAAGTAATTGCATTTAATATATTATTTTAAAATGCTGTAAATGGGTTCCAGTTGCCTTTATATTCATATTTCAGCAGCACTTCTCCGTTACATTGTTTTATTTTGTTTACCTATATTTTTCACAGCCAAGGTTTGGTTGGTACAAAAAAAAATGTGGCTTTAGCTCTTAAAATAAACCCGTTAGGCTGAGGCGACTTAGTAAACCAGTCTTAGAGGCCAATCCTTGACATCAAAACTTAGGAAACTACACGTGGTTTGGACGCCTCTGGAGTCCCCTTATAACCGGTAGCGTCTAAGTCAAGGTGAAAATAGTTTTTTTATCATCCGAATCAAACTTAAATCACATGATGTTTTGTGTGTGTTTTTCAAGAGTGTTGCGGGGAAGTTATATTAAAAACTTACTTTCTCTTTTTCCACAAAGTCCACAAAAGCTGTCCTTTCAATCTCCACTGGCTGTCCCTGCCTGTCGTACAGAGCTAAGACGAAGTGGAAAAAATTGGATTTTCTGAGATTGGAAGGCGGCTGTTTCTCGAAATGTGCCCGAGCCAACCCCACACCGCTGCGGGGAGAAAAACAAGATAATGTCTGTGAGAATTGGAGACACCGGAGAAACAGAGAGTGTGGGGACTTGGATAAGGGTGAAAAGGGGGGGGGCTGACGGCTTCTGTCTAAAAACAACATCCACCACAACATTGGGAGATGACGGGAATTACATTTGGGAAAAAGGAAAATTTCTTGATTTGTCACTATCGCCTAATATGATGTAATTGAACGGGGAGAGAGAGAGAGAGGAGCGAGCGAGCATGGGAGAGGGAAACGAGGGTGGGGGAGACATTGAAGCGGAGTTCAGGGAGATTGTAATTGATATGGAGTATTGAGGGCGATTTACGGTCGGTATGAGAAACACAAGAGCGGGAAGGAGAAAGGATCATCTGGCACACGTACCTTTGGGCGGCTGTGTTAGCATCCACTACCCCAGCAGTATGCATCCATGAACGGACTGGGTTCATTCCACTGCCCAGCGGTTCTTCTTTCATGGTCGTCCCACCTCGTGGTATATTTTCCTGAATCCCAAACATTAAAACAATCTTGGGACAAAACCAGCTCCTAACCAAATGGGGCTTAAAAAATGATGAGAAATGTCAGAAAGAGAGGGGGCGGGGGGCCGTAAGCGTTGATGGTTGTTTCTTTCTTTCTCTGTGTGTTTTTTTTTTCCTCCCTCGCCTTTCTCTCTTTCTTTCTCTCTCTCTCCTCGGTCTCTCACTCTCCTTGGCGACCGGAATATAAGAAATGACTTTACTCCCCGCGATGTACAGGAGAAAAGCCCAGTTCAAGTCGTCTTTCCGTCTTCAATCTGTCCTGTATTGGCACGACATAAACAATATACTGAACAGTTCTACTTGGATGGCGTTCCAGTTTGGAGGTTTAAAAAAAAAAACCCGGAGGGGTTGAAGGGAGAAGGGGGGAAAAATTAAGTTTTTTTTTTGTTTTTAAAAAAGTAGCAACTACAGCCGTCGGTATTACGAGATCGTCTTCCCCCCCTTCTTTCTTTCTTTCTTTCTTTCCTTCTTTCCTCTTTCTTTCTTTCACAAATAAATAATTTTTGTTGTTTGTTTGTAGAAGGCTTCTCAATGTGGTGTCATCCTAGTAAAACAGCATCAAAAAACCTTCAGGACACTGCTGAATCGACCACTTCTGGCAAGGCTCCTGCTTCCAAAAGACAAATAAACGAAAAAATGATTACCATGGAGGTGTTCCTGGACACAGGAGAGCTTGATGAGGGGCCTTTAGCGTCTTGCAGAATGGATGGGAAGCGTACAAAACAGCCCTCTATCCCCTAGGAATGGAACCTTTCCCGGGAGCCAAAACTCTAAACCCACGGGAACTGCGCTGTCAGATTCTGACGTTCGGAAGGCGGAGCCAACACCATATATGGGGGGCAGAACAAATCCTCCCTTTAGCCGAGAGCTCCACAGCTTGTTTAGTTCTGACTGACTGCTGCAGCCTCAGAGTGCAGGCTCTCCGCTTCTCCCCCCTCCCTTATAACGCAAGCGGTTTTTTTTATTATTTCATATACACACACGCGCGCACACACACACACATGCACGCACGCATATAATACCTTGGTATATATATATGTAATATATACATACATACACACACACACATATGCATGCAACACACACGCGCACCAGCAGCCAATGAAGTTAGAATATCGTTGCGAGGGTTTTTTTTTAAGTCGCGGCACAAGGACAGCTGGAGCGCCGTGCGGTTCGAAAAGAATCACGATCGTTAAAAGGCTAGCTAGCCTAAATATAAACAACAGAGACCAATGCTGTTTGTGAAGCACGGTGCACCCCAAGCCCGTGCGCCACAGCAAAATGTGCCCTTAAAGAGGAGGCGAGGAAACAGGACGTGTGTGTGTGTGCGCGCGCGCGCGTGTGTGTTTGTGCGCCTTATGCCCGTGTCTGTAGGCTGGTCATCCACGAGTACAAGTCTGTCGGTTATCTGGATCCTCCGCCCTCTCCATCCACACCCCCCTTTCCCTCCCTCTTACAGCAATATTTGGGTTAAATTATGAAAGAAAGGGCAAGTCCGACAAGGTTTCATGTGTGCTGAAAAGTGAATTGGCCAAGCTGGTCGACTTAGCTGCATTAAGCACACACGCACACTCTCTTAAATGAGGTCTCTGGTTTAATGTTACGGCTGAAGCCCTGCAAAAGATTACAGGTGGTCTGCGCGCCGCAGCGATGGTGGTTTGTGAATTCTTACCAATCCCCTTACCTTTAAGGCAAAGGGCATCTCTTACCAAAGATACAGGCACGAAAGACAAACTTTCTAGCTACATTGTTAGCGCCTCCAAGAACAATAGCCATCCCTCCCCCAAAGCACACACACAAAATTCTGCTTTCTCACCTGTTTCTTTATTTTTTATGTAATATTAATTTTTATCCCAAGGTACGAAATTATGATCCTACCGATATTTTGCAGTGAGGAGGGGGAAAAATCCTTATAGAAATCTTTAAAATCTAATTCAGCGCCTCCTGGTGCTTTTCAAGTGAGGGCGTTTGTCTCTTGCCTTTTGGCTCTTTTACCGTAACAGGTTAGGAAAGGCAGCAGCATATCTGAAACTCTTGATTTCGAGGAATCTTTAGAGGTATGTGAGAGAGGGAGAAGAGGGACTGGGTGTACGTTCAAAAGTGCTGGTGATTAGGGCTGCGAATCTGGGAATAAGCACTATTATACACAGTGGGACCTCCTTCTGAGCAAACGCGTATATAATTCCTGTGTAAAACTTCGGGACTGCTGGAGTAAGGACGAAATCGCTAATTACTTGGCAGACAATAGACACAGATTGCTCGAAATGAATTATTCTTAGATGGACGGATGGATAGAAAGAGACGGATAGACAGACAGACGATATTTGAAAGGCATTTCCTTATACAAGAAGACGACCCTGGGGGTAGACAAAGGGTGGCCTGGACACTCTTCTGCAGAAACAGAACAAACCTTTTCCTCGGTCAACAACCCTACCTCGATTACATGTATATCTACAACATGAACCCAAGAAGGGTGTAGAATGAGAAGCTTCCCACTTTGGGGTAGGTTAGGACTTCCTTTTATGTGAATTGGCAGGGTATGTATGTTAATATTTTAATTAATCAGTGAAAATCGAAGTCCGATTTGTGTTAGCAGGAGACCCCCGATCCCTCCTCCAAGGGTGAGGGGGTGCGGAAAGATGTGTTAGAAAGCAATCTATTTTTGCTGGTGTTGAGGGTTAATGACTATTGCTAAAGATAAGTGAATTATCAAAGCTGTTGCTCTACCCGATCTCAAAATCCATTACATTGCTGGCCGTCTAATTAAATACGTAAGTATAATAAAATCATATTTTATGACTATTTGAGGGTAATGAGATTAGTCTTTAGAAGCGATCGCCACATATTAAAGATGCCACTGTCTATAGAATGTTAATAACCTTAAATCAAAGTGTATAGAAAGTATTCATGATAAATTAAAGGGGGGGAAACTCTGTCTCCATAATCATCTTTGAGTATAACTGTGGGATATACTGGGAGATGTCATACTTCCCCTGCAAGTAAAACTGAAGTTACTAAACAGGTTAGCGGAAGAAAAATAATAAGACCCTCTCTATCTCTCTCTTTCCTTACATGTGTGTTTATATGCAATATATACTTAGCTGACAAAGCATCTTGAACTTCTCATGTACCAAACAGCTTTGTCTATTTCTTTTCCTTTTTCTTAAAAAACAAAACTTTTCCACCACGAAGGAAAAAGTCTGACCATAAGTCATTTTGGAAAACATAATGAAGGAGGCTAAAGTTCCTTCTAGCCGGTGGTAACAAAAGCATCATGCTTCAAACCATTTACAGTATCTTTAATTCAGATTACACGCGCCAAGGCGATTTAAATCTGATTACCAAATTAGAAGGTTTTAAAACAAATCCTTTTAAATCTGATACTGTTGACTAAAAGGGGGGAGGGAGAGAGAGGGAGGAGAAGGGTGAAAGTTGCATAAGCCCCCATCACATAAGGTAACGATCCTGCCCCAGAAAGAAAGGGGAGTTTTAAACCTTTTTGACAACAAATGCAGCTGCCCCGCTATTTTGGAAGATATTAAGCGAAAATGAATGCAAATCTGTGTTCAGAAGCCATCTGGCCAGAAATAGGGGAGTCAGCTGCTCTTCACATCAGACTCTTAGGCTGAATCTATTTCAGCTCATTTTCTAGATCATCTGGTCCTACATCCAAAGCGTGGAAAATACGGTCTTTTATCATTCACGAACTTTTCTTTCTTTCTTTCTTTCTTTCTTTCTTTCTTTCTTTCTTTCTTTCTTTCTTTCTTTCTCTCTTTCTAGGAGAAATGCGCGGAGGAAAAAAAAAATTACTCCAGGGGTCTGCATTATAAAGGTTACTTGAGTTCCTCTATGTGTTTGCCTGTTTCTCCGTCTGCCTGCCAATGTGTTTGTTTGTTTGCCCGCTTGCTTTTAAGCGCCTCTCTATAAAACCCAACTTTTGAGTCCTGATGAAGGACAAGGCTAAAAGGTCTCGCCTTTGACCCACGGGTGGGGAGAAGATGGCTGGGCGATTCTCCCCTTCTGTGGCGGGGGGGAAAAGGGCTACTTAGTACCTGGGAGGGGGGGTTACTTTGAATAGTGCGCATGTAACCCTTCGGGGAAATGATGGTTGCGGTAATGCGACGCGGGATCGCTTCCTCTAACGGAGAGGGCGGAGTGAGCGGCCGCAGGCAGACTGAATCTCAGTCCCTGCCTCGGAGCAAGTCTAAGGTGAAGTTCATGGGGACCCCAGGCACCAGGGAACAAGCAGGCGCGGTGGTGTGGTCGAGGACAAAGCCGGGTGTTCGTCCAGGCTTTTAAAACACTTTCACAACTTAAGGCGGGGCAGGCCACACTCGCGGTGGGAAGTGATTGTCCCCTTTCCTTTGCCCCCCCCTTCCCCGCGACAACTCTGTC